TGCTGCTGCCCTGGTACAAACGAAAATCTTCATTTGCCATCAGAACTTTTCTATTAGAGACTTGCTACACCCACATTTAAAATAAGGGAACGCTAACGCTGAAAACGTATCTTCTCCTGATGTTCGCTCGCTACCTCTTTCAACATGCTGCTGCCCTGGTACAAACGAAAATCTTCATTTGCCATCAGAACTTTTCTATTAGAGACTTGCTACACCCACATTTAAAATAAGGGAACGCTAGCGCTGAAAACGTATCTTCTCCTGATGTTCGCTCGCTACCTCTTCCAACATGCTTTAATAAAAACTGCAACGACGAAAACACCAACAATATTTGATTAAAAACCCGTTTAATCACTAAATAGGATTGTATACCTACAAATACAATTTGAAATCTACAAATGTTTCCTAAATCTAATTTACAAAGATAAACTTACCTTTAGCTTAAAACTAAGAATATAAGTTACAAAAAGTGAACCAAAGGTCTTGTTAGTTCTATTTTTGGACTAATTTTTAATGAACACTACCGCCAGCTATTGACGGTGAAACATTGTCTTCAAAGGGAAATAAAGTTTAAAAAAAAACTCACAGGTTTGAAGCCAAGCAGCCTGTTGTCTCTCAGCTCCCAGAGAAATTTGTTTGGTCGACCTTTTTTAATTAATCCAGACGAACAGAACAAGCTCTATTGAGTTTGCCACTTTGCTACAGTCGGGTACTGGACGAACTTTTATTTCGAATAATCTTCAGGAGGTCGGGGTTGTGGGTTGGTTGGAACTAGTTTTCATGGGTTTGTTTTTATAGGGGGAATTCAGGGTGTTTTTGACCGTTTGTTGCAAGAAAGTCTGCAACACCCACATTTAAAATAAGGGAACGCTAACGCTGAAAACGTATCTTGTCCTGATGTTCGCTCGCTACCTCTTCCAACATGCTGCTGCTGCCCTGGTACAAACGAAAATCTGCATTTGCCATCACAACTATGCGAGAACGCTAATGCTGAAAACGTATTTTGCGCTGATATAAAGCGATGATATAAAATATAATAAGCAGATTAATAGGTATATGTTTTCCACTCTCATTTCCGGTCCATATGTTAGTTATTAACAATTTATTGCAAAAAACGCGATTTTTGTCTTTTTGTTCATAACTTTGAAACTAATGGAGCAATCGGAATGTTCAACGAGATGATTTGTAGGGAATTAACATTTCTACAAAATGAGGGGTTGATCGGATAATGAAAACAGTAAAACCTCAGGTAGTAAATAAATTTCGATGAACTATTTATGTACACTAGGAATGATTTTTCCAATATTCCTTGCCAGAGTCCTTACATACGGTTGCTGTGTAAACAGTAATACAAATTAATCCTTGCGACGAATCATGTGCATTATTAATAACTGAGTTTGCTTTCTATCAGTAAAATTCTGTAAGCCCAATCCAAATATTTAAATATCTACAGCTTACTGTAGATCTTTCATTGTTGTTATACTTTCGTTAGAATATGTAAATTACAC